AAAAAACTGAAACAATCATGAGACGTTTTGCTGGTGGCCCGGGCCGCCTATAAAGATTTGTGCAGCCAGACTGACGGCTGAAGTTTCGTACGCAAAGCCATGCAAGCTCACGGGCATTGACATACTTGGAAAAGACCCAACGGATTCTGGCCGGCTCACCCAAGGCTTGGTGTCCTTGGAGGCGCCCCCCTCGTTGTTCCCAGAACACCCGTGACACCAAGAACACCAAAAACTAACACAAAAAAACTGTGAGGTAGGATAGTAAACATCTTACCTCCTATAGTAGCAAGGAGTAGCTACGCTCAAGACTGAAGGCCAACGTAGCTTAGTGTTCTTGCATCCTTGAACAAGGCACACGTAGGGAAAGGATTTCTTGCCATCGACATCCTTTCCAGCAGGCTCTTCTTGTCCTCACACATGCCGGCCCGCAGAGGGGAAGGGCAAGGTTGCCTTGAAACCCAGGTTGGGGTTCCCTTTTTCCTCATTGTGAGTTCATTTCGGGAGTCAACCAGGGTCCGTTTTGACGCTCTCCTTGGACAGGCGACTGGTCGGTTGAAACATTGGACACCTTCTCGTCGCCTGTGCGTATCAAGCTGCCAGGGCAAGACGGGTTTCCTCGAGAAAGCATGTATACATATGGCACCCCCCCTTCCAATACCCACTCAATGTGTGTTTTGTACTGTAAATTAAAGTGGTTTAGTATCATGTTTAAAGTGCTAATTTTTGCGACATTTTTCCAAATTGTTGTGTTGAACACTCTCCACATGGGATACCATATGTGTATATATATATATACACAATGGGTATAGAAAAAACAGAAAAGTAAGACTCCACTACTTAGAGTGGATTGAGGATAGAGAAAAGTACGCCACGGTACGCGTACCTTCTGGATTGAAGATTGAAGATTTTGCCAGGACTTTGGGTGCAATCTTCCATCTTCAATCCAGAAGGTATGCGCACCATGGCGTGTTTTTTCGTTGCTAATGGCTGATTTTACTTCTTTGCTCACTCTTTTGGGTATTTCAGTTTGTTCATGTTTGAGTAAACAATTTTTTGAAGTAGTTTTTGAAGTGAAATTTCAGTGAAATATGTTCGAAGAACATTTCATTTATGAAAATGATTGCAACAAGTATGACAATATTAATGTACATCAAACTGCTTTCCTGAACTTAAATCATCCTGAATTGAAATTTAGACTTCGCCATAGCTCTACTAGCCAAAGAATTATCTCGTTGATGCTAGGAAGGGACATTTTAAAGGATTGTTGGCCATAGGATGTATGTTGCAATACCACTGGGGGGGTCCTGGTCGTGATTTTATAAACATAAAACGGTGGACCTGGACCCCTACATTCTCTATATTTTGGGAGCCTGACCTCTAGATTCTCTATATTTTGAACCATGAGAAGCGAGGTGCCTGCCACCTCACAAAAACAGCAGTGCGAACACAATTTTTCTATAAAATCACTACCCCTGACCCCCCCAAAAAGAACTGCATAAAACGAGCATTTTGTTCAAGAGACTCACGGTAGCGCAACGTGTATGTTAACCACTTGGCATAACTCTAGAAAAAAATTAAAAAAAAAAACAAAAAGAACTACTAAATGCAAAAACAAAAAACAGTAAATCTGAAAAAGAAAAAACATTTCATTAAATGTCCACAGGGGGGTCAGGATCCCTTTGATGTAATCTAAAATTATGTCCACGGGGGTCAGGACCCCTTTGATGCCATCTAAAGTTATGTCCACAGCACTGATTTTATAGCAGCAAACGTTGGACATATTTTAGGGCCATTGCACTTCATCCAGAATATAGCTCCACGGGGGGGAGCTAAGAACACTGATTTTATAGAAGCACATCCTTGGAATTTCTTGAAATTATGTTCTACAAAATGGATCCCAAACTTTTCGGGGTCATTTTGCAGCGATGGATGTTGGTGCTTGTATGTGGATGTCCTGTGACACTGCGATGGCGCCAATAATGAGGAGCTCGTGGCAGGCGCAGCATTTGGTGAACCTCAACTTGGTGAACCTCGAAGTGCAGAGTTTGTGGCATGCACTCTGTGACCCTCGATGCGCAGATTTCGTGGCAAGTGCAGCACTTGGTGAACCTCGAGGTACAGATTTCGTGGCAGGCACAGCACTCTGTGACCCTCGATGTGGAGATTTCGTGGCAGGTGCAGCACTTGGTGCACCTCGAGGTACACATTTCGTGGCAGGCGCAGCACTTGGTGAACCTCGAAGTGCAGATTTTGTGGCAGGCGCAGCACTCTGTGACCCTCGATGCGCAGATTTCGTGGCAGGTGCAGCACTTGGTGAACCTCGAAGTGCAGATTTCGTTGCAGGTGCAGCACTTGGTGAACCTCGAGGTGCAGATTTCGTGGCTGGCACAGCGCATGGTGAACCTCGAAGTGCAGATTTCGT